CAATTACAATATATATTTTTGAAAGCATTCTTACTTTACATCATTTTTTCACACCTGCCTAAAACTTTTGCACAGTACTGTAGATCACAGGAAATGCAGCTGGGGAACCCTCATCCTTTCATCTGAGGAAACAGATGGGTGTTAACTTACAGTCTCTGAAATTGTGAAAGAAGATTGAAAGCCTTTATCTTCTATTTTGGAGGTTATCAAAAGCTCAGCCTGAATTGATTTTGAGTGAATGGTGTTGGTGAAACTAGATTTATCTATATTATATTTTCTCTTACCTCATGCCTTTTTTTTTTGCTTACTGTTTCTTACTCTTTTCTGCACTCTTTGTAACACTGCTACACCATAAAGGGAATAGCATGATGGGTATGTATGTATATTACATCAATAAAAATGTCTCAGTAGTCATGTAAACTCCATCACAGTGGCTCCCTGTCATTGCTGGCTGTGCTGCTAAAGGATTTTCAAAGGTAGCTCCAGTGCTTTTGGAGATTCTTGATAATATTGAGTATTTTAAAATAAGGCATGCTGATCTTGCCCAAATGTCGGGGGACTGTCTGTTCCTGTTTTAAGGCTCTGTCCAGGAAATACTTGACTTGTACTTCTAGTTAATTGGAAGAACAGTTCAAACAATATGCATGGAGGATCAGGGGAAAGTGTAGCACTGCTTTCCTCCCCTGATATCTTCAGCTCTGTTGAGTTACAACATGCTTGATTCTCAGCCAGCATAGCTTAAAGACTGGGAGTCATGGAAATTGTAGTGAGACACATCTCAAGGGGTTCAAGTTGGGGATGGCTGCTTTAGTGTAAAGTTAATGTTGTAGCTGGGAGTGCACATTGAGGTACTGTAGTAGCGGGTCCTGGTGCGGATATACCGTATGGCTTTTCTCCAAAGGGTTTGCTGTTGGGAATCCTTACTCAGCCGCTGAAAAAACAGTGGCTTTGTAATTCCTGTCTTACAGGGGCCTGGACTTTTCTGAATTCATCATCAAACCCCAGAAAGACACTGACGCTTCCCTGTACAAATATGACCTCATCGCTGTGTCTAATCACTATGGTGGCCTCCGGGATGGGCACTGTATGTATTCTGGCACTAGAGGAAATAGATTATTCGGGGAGGGGGGAGAAATTTGGGACTCAGGAAAGAAAAATTGGAAGCATAATCCACTAAAACTATACTGTTCTTAGTAAAGGGTGTGTACAAATATTTGGTGGATAGCTATGTTGTAAGACTTCCCCAGCTCCTCCGTTTCAGAACCTATCAAACCTCGCTCTTAGTTAGTTTTCAGGTCCCATGAACCCACCTGCCAGGCTTTTTTGTTTTTGTTGTGTTGCACTCCCACTTCCCTCCCTCTGGGGGTCACAGGCTGCTGGCCACTCATCTGATGAGCGGGACTGTTTGTCCCTACAGTAGTTGCAAAGAAGTAGCTGAAAGGTTGCTCCCAACAATTGCTGGCAACAGTAGCAATAATTTAATAATAGATAAAAGAGTCTTCCTGTTGTCTCCTCCTCTTTCTAGGAAGGAGATTAAGATCACTGTTTTTTTGGTGCCTTAGAGTCAGTGTTGACTCCTGGTGACTGCCTGGACTAAGTCCCTACAGTTTTTTTGGCAAGATTTTTGGAAGTGGTGTGCCATTGTCTGCTTCCCAGGGCTGAGAGAGAGGGACTGGCCCAAGGTCACCCAGCTGGCTTTGTGCCTGAAGTGGGACTAGAACTCAAAAAGCTTATTTCTAGCCCAGGGGATGTATTAACTGGAATTGTAAAGAAACAGAGTTAAAACATACAGAATTCTGGCTGTGTGGTAAGGCAGTATTCGTTTTCTTGGTGAGTGACAAAAGGATATGGAATGATCTGACTCATCTCTTGTGCTCTCTAGACACCACTTTTGCCCGGAACAAGGACACTGGGACATGGTTTTACTTTGATGACAGTAGCGTGTCTGCAGTTTCAAAGAACCAGATTGAGGTAAGGCATGTCATATTTGGATGGGCTCATTGTTTCAGTACTTACTGGCTAATGCCTTGGATAGTTATGGCCCTTTTCCCCTTCACACATACTTTTTGCAAGTAGGATTGTCAGATCTTTTAACACAATACACTCTCTGGCTGGTATTTGTTTTATGGGAATTCTGAATGAAACCTCAGATAGCATGTTTCCAAGCAGACTGGGCTTTTTATTAGAAGCAAATTGGAATAAATTATCCCATATACTGTATTGTCGAAGGCTTTTGACATCCTATATATTCTTTCTTATTAAGAAACGGGGCACCCTCAGGTGTCTTTAGTAAATCATTTTGAACAGGACCTAGAAGATTTTTAACAACTATAGGTGGGAAAGGAGGCTTATTTGCCTCAGATTGCTTCCTTAGTCTTGCCATTGACTTAGGACATTGTAAGATGTGGGCTGTGCCTGCAATGGGAATACAGAAAAAGTGCAGAATGTTGTGACTATAGCTTTTTGAGAATGTCTTTTTTTAAAAGTAACTATCTAGCCCAGCTTTCCTTACCTTGGTGCTCTTTAAGGGACTACAACTCCCGGAATTCCCAACTAGCATGGTGGTTCCCTTGTAGGCTGCAGATTCTGGAGGGGTTTGTTCTAACACATTCTAATATTAGTTCAAAGAACCCTGGATTAAATTTTAAGACTGCAAGAACCTGCTTAGATGCCATGCTTCAGAATCTTCATTCTTTCCATGGTGGCCAAGCTGGACTAAACAATGACAATGCAAATCCTTCAAGTCGCTTATCTCCCTTAATGGCTCTTTCTTATATTACAAGTTGTTTCCTCTAATTTTGCCTGAGACATCATGGAGAAAGCAATGCAAAATTTTATAAACAAGTCCAGGTTCTTGGATCAGTATCATCTTTCCACTGCCAGGTTGATAGTCCATTGAGTACTAGGGGATTTAGGCACACTGGGAATCCATCATCCATTCAATGTTTCCCTTTCCTTTGACCTGGAACTTGGTTTCCAAAGTGTTTCCTCCAGTCCTTGTTATTTGCCATTTCTTAACTTTTTCCCCCTTCTTCTTGCCAGTCCAAAGCTGCCTATGTCCTCTTCTATCAGCGCCAGGACAAAATCTGCCATCCAACTCCCCTTGCTGCATCCACGAGTACGTCTGCCTGCAGAAATGAGGAGGACTATGCTGCCTGTTGTGATTCTCACGCTAGAGAGCTAGCAAGTCGGGACTTCATGGACGTGGACTGACCTTCACCTTGCTTCCCTTCTCCATTTGTGACAGGAGGAGGGGAGGATGAGAGCCATATATGTTCCTTTCCTTGGACTGAAGGGGGCAGCTGGATTTTCAGGCCTTGGAATAAGGGCAGGGGTGTAGGACACAGGAGATAAAACCCCCTACCAGCACAGACTTACTATCTTCCTGTGTCCCAACGTGCAGGGCTCTTTGCTTTGCATATAGTTCCCCTGCTCTGGAGGGGAAGAACTGGCTACCCTTTAAAAGGCTTGTGCCTTACACCAACATAAGATGGCTGGGGGAATGTAGGCTTCCTGGATTGTCTCCTCCATTCCCTTTTTTACATCTCAAAAGTGAGATGCTTTTATTAGTGCTAGGTCTCCCATGTGGAAGACTTGTTAAATGCATCATTTCTATGCTGGCTGTGCGCCCCCCCCCCGGCAGTATTAGGCCACTCTCTAATCAGGGTATCTGCCCTTGTTTTGCTGCTCGTGGCTTCATGTCTTTACCTCCACTTTGCCATTGCCGATTCCTGTGCTTTGGGAGGACTTTGCAAAGATACTAACTCCTGTATGGTCCGTGGCTAATTAGGACACTTCCCCCTCCACTGCCGTACCTCTGAGCATTGGATAGGTCTCGATAAATGGCCCCTTGTATTCTTTCCTGTCACTTGCCTTGAAAGTGCCTCCTTTTAGCTCCCCAACTAAGCAATAATTCCAATATTATCCTGCCAGGACTACCTTCTGACAGCCCATGGAAATCTGGAACTCACATGCAGGTTCCTGGATTTCCTTCTCCCACAATTCCTCATTTCCTAAGTTCCTCTCCAGCTATTATGGTGGCTGTGAGCCACTGAGCCCCAACATGCTGCTTCCTGCTCTTGCATCCAAACCTGTTTGGGAGGACAGAGCCATTTTCAGTCTATACTGTGTTACAGCTCCCTTAGCTAAGGACTGTAGGAGAAACTTTACTACCATCTCTTAAGGTTGCTTCTCAGTTGCCCTACTACCTATCAGGACTATCTCCATCCCAGCAAAACTTTGGAGTTCTTCCGTTTACTGTGAGTCTCTGCTGCCACTGCTGTTGCTACTTCTAGGCTCAGGGATTGCACTAGTTTGTAAATAGGTTTCTGTGTGCAATGCAGTGGATGGAATACAGCAGGAGGTAGTGTTGGTCAAGCACAGGACGCTCACTGGCAGAAGCACATAGTGTATTTTCTTACTTAAAGAGTTTGGAAGATGATTCCTTCACTTAACTCTTTGGGTTTTTATTTCTCTTGAAGTTATTTTGCAGAAGAAAGTATTTTTGGCATGTGTACATAAAGTGACTTCTTTTAAAAGGCATATGGACTCTCTTTTTCCTTGGTATTACCCCTTGCAGGAAGGATACTCAATACATTTTTTGCCTTGCTTTATTCCCCTTTGGGGGCTTGGAACCAAGGTCTGTAAAGGTTTGTTGTCTTCCTCTTCTGCTTCAGTCAGTATGAACCAAGAGCATCCACACCCGATAGCTCCTTAGCTGGAGTTCAACCCAGCCAATTGTGTTAAAATATCTAACTTCAGGATCTATTTAGCACCTCTTAGAGTATGTCCCTGAACAAAAAACAATCAAGCAGGAACAGTTGCAGCTACCTTGGTTTACTACCCAGTATTCTGCAACATACATTAAATTTCTAGCTCAAACTTCCAGAGATATTTCTCACATTTTTTTTCTCTATTGATGCACAGCAGGAAACAGCAACAGCTATTCCATGCCTCAGCTCTTCACAAGGTTTCTGAAGCTGCTTTCCTGATTAGACTGCTGATCGTTGATGATTTTCAGCACTCTGCCAATACCTCTTGCCATTTAAACCAAGCACTGCTCCACACTTTTAGCACACCATGCACAATAAGGTGGTCCTTGGCCACCAATTGGTAAGGATCAGCAGGGTGTCTCTGGGTCCCACCGTCCTGTAGGACTGTATCCCAGAGCAGACCAGGGGCCGCTCAATCTGGCCTGGACGTCCCGGTCAACTGGAGGTCCTGTGATATCAGCTGTTCCTCAACATCCTGAAGAGCCCAATGGTGAGAGACCAACTCCAAGGCTTCCCACTCAGCCTGAAAGAGAAGAAAGGGTTCGTTGGTAATTTGCAGACCATGCTGTAGCTCTCAGGTACTATTCCATCCACAAACGCATTACCAACTTCAAGAGTGGCAGGATCAAAGCCCAGGGTTTCAAATTAAATGACTTTCGCTAGATTTAGTTTTCATGTCAAGAAACATCCTGGAAGCATTTTTTAAAAAAATTAAATGGTATGTGGGAAGAATGCCCAACTATCCAGGGAAAAAAAGGGGCAAAGCTTAAGCTGGGATAGTTGGAAGCATCTGTGTCTATATATAGTGGGGGGTAACATCACCCATTTGCCACCTAGCGAACGGGTGTTTTGGGACAGCCCATGCCTGCCTTAGAAGGCATTTTATGAAGATACCCCCTTATGGTCTCAAAATTCCCTGTCTGCCCACTTCCCTAAAAAGACTGCCTGCCCCAGTTTTATATTAATCCAACAAAATTTAACTCTTTTCATTATGATTTAAAAAATTTTTTTGTATGAAATAGGTTTGTTTTCCCCATTTATTTCCTGACGGAGAGTATCCTGATCCAAAGGAAATTTTAACTAATCATACTATACAGCAGTGAACTGAAAACCTGTGGTCCTCTACAACTTTTACAGAAGTCTCAGAAGCCCCAGTCAACACAGGCGATGGTGAGGGATCTTGGGAGTTGTAGTTTGATAACAGCTGAAGGGCCACTGGTTCCCTATGTCTGTCATACACTTTTATGTATGAATTAGTGAGGAATAAAGAACCTTACTTTGAAGGCCTTGTTGGGATCTGGTGGAGCAGGACTGGCTGGGCCCATGAACTGATCTTGGAGGAGTAGCTGACTCTGCTCTGTGGTTAAAGCAAGAACAGAAGGTGCAGATATGTCAGAAAGAAAACTTGTTTAGACTAATTTGCAAGCAAACATTCTACAAGAGGCAAAGGAAACTAATGTCATATCAAGATACTCAGCAGACCACATTTTATTAAGGGCAAGGTCTCTATTTTGTAGAAATGTTAATAGTTTATTATGAGAGCATGAGAAGCTGGGGGGGGCGGTATCTGGAAACTCTAGCTGCTTAGTGAGATTTACTCCACAAAGATGTGTGTCATAATGAATCTGACACACTGTAGAGTCCTAAAAAGGTTTCCCCCCCTACAATTGACTGATACAACTATCACTGAAATCATTTCCCTGTAATCCTAAGGCCAAAACAATTAAAAAGTGCAGTTACATAACTGGATAGGATGTACTCCAAGAAAATGGGGAAAGGGTTAAGATATTACTGAATGCATTAAAATAGCCAAACAACCACCTTGAAATATTGAATCTTGCCTTGAAAAGATAATATAGACTAAACTGAAAGCTGAAATAGAAATAATAGAAGAACTAGTATCTAGTTCACATGATGCACTTGTATGTGGTTTATTTAAACAACCAAATTGCTAGGTTCACAAACCACACTGAACCATAAAGTAATCATGCACGCTAAATTCATACCACATGATAAGCTAATATGGTTGGCTAGTTTGTGGTTCAATGCATCAAGTGAGCTCTTCTTATACCTCAAACATTTAAGGAAGGTGGCAGATGCTGAGTTCTGCAAATAAGACTTGTAGGAGGCAAAGCATCCTCTTTCTTGCCCTTTCTCTGCTCTTTCCTTTACAAAACCAGATCTGATAGCCAGATTGGATCATGTAGTAAGTTAGGAACAATTCAAACACCAATTGGGGTTACCCTGTCCTTTCTAGCACTTGCATCACTCAATCCTACTGTTTACGGAATGCTTTCTTCCTGTTCTAAATGTAGTCATGAAGTTGGAATTGTAAGATACCTTGGCCTCTAAGTTGTACTCTTGCCCCCTTGAAAGACTACACCTAAGCCCACATGCTGCCCCTCCCTTTGAACAATCTCTTACCAGTGTCCTCCCCCAGGACATGTTTGTACATTTTGCGCAGACCAAAGACGTTGAGGAAATACCAGGAGGCTGAACTCACCCTGGGAAAAGAAGAGTTGTCAGTGACTACCCTAAAGAGTCTTCTTGCTCACCAGTCCTGTGCCCCAGAACCCAACGTCCTCTTCCCATCCTGCCACCCAAAGGACTGGCTAGACCTGAGGGCAGATGGGGGCTTACCAAGAGGGATCCATGGAAGGCAGGTTAATTCCACGCTGCAACATGGGCTTGAATCGCAGGGTCAAGGGGAAGGGAACCTTAGCTAGAAGGTTGGGAGGGAGAGGGATTAGAGTTGCCTCTCCCTCCAAACTCTACACTTGCTCCTCAATCCCCAGCTCCCTTGCCTTTCCAAAATGCAGCTCTTTGCTGCTTTAGCTAAGACACCCATTTCCTGGTCAGCTGAAAAGCCTCCACTAAAACTGCTGGACCATGCACCTCTTGCTGCTTCTTTCCAAGATATTCCAAACCTGCCCAATACATTGTTACAGTAATTCTGTCCACAGTGGTACTGCTGCATTCTCTTTCCTGTATTATAAATTAATGTGGGGAGATGTATGGCTAACCAATGGTTCACGGTAGAAGTAAACATGAAAGCGAAACTCTCCTGGTTCACGGTTCAAATGCTATATTAGCAGTCCCCAAGCTGGTGCCCTTGAGATGTGCTGAAGTAGCTTGCTTGCTGAATAGTCCTGGGGATTGGGGTCTCAACACACCTGGAGGGCAGCAGAGTGGAGATGGCTGTGCTGTTCCACTAGTGAGCCAGCAACTAATAATCTGCATTCCCACATTTGTAAGAGAACATAAAATGAGATGTACCTCACAGACCAGCTAAACTAAGAACTGTAAATCACACTGTACATTAGCAGAGTTATTAGCACAATAGTCTTGGTCCCCTCATCAGTTTAACTACTATAAATAAAATGGTTATATTTCAATACCCATTCTTCAAATGTTGCAGGGCGTAATAACTTTATAACTCAAAATTCGCAAAGCCTGAAGGTCAAAGGATACACCAAACACTAGAAAAAACGATTAAATAAACAGGAAACTAAGCACAAGGTGGTTTGTTAATTCCCATCAGTGATTCCCCTCCACTCACTAGCCACAAAGCCAGAGAAGGCCCAGTTGATCCAGCCTCCAATGAGAATCATGGGCAAAACATTGATGAGATTGCCCTTCATCATCTCTGTAACCATAGTGGGATCTAAAGGAAAGGAAAAGGAAATATTAAATCAGAGCCCTGACCATGCTAGCATTTAACAGAGTATAGAAAAGCTGCAGAATATGCAAGGCGTGGCACTTAGCCTCCAAGGTGGTCAACTTTCACTCAGCCTCTTTTTTAAAGTTTTGATCCCCTGTGGTTGTGTTTAGGCAATCCCTACAGTATTTAAATATTACAATGCTGGGGTAGGGGTGGCAATTTTGAACTGCAGTAACCATGGAAGGTGTTTTGATGCCCCACAGAGCTCTCTTTTCCTTCCCATGATTGGAAGAATCTGATCAAACACAAATGTATTTAATCTGCATAATGCACAGACCACAAAGGTCTGCTAGTTGCAGAATATGGGCTATGCTGGCAAAGAGTTAAGCATGAGCCCTGCATTAAAGCACTTAACTTAGTTGATGGATTAGACATTCTTTAGGGCAGGGATGTAAAACTTTCAGTCTGAGGTTCGCATTTAATGGATGAAGCCATTAAATTAAAATTAGTGTTATGTACTTAAAATTGAATACTGTAGTTAATGATTTCTGTCATGTACTTAATATCATATGATAAAGGGTTTGGGGAGGTTCTTGGGCCCGCAGAAGATTTCTAAAGGCTGTGTGCCTCTGCCTTAGGACAAATGGTACACTGCCTGGCGCTCCAGCCCTATTATGAAGGGGCTACCAGCTTGGTAATGCTCACCCCCCTCTTTTCCTGCTGATGCTAATACGAAAAGACAGTCTGACAAAAGTGACCAAAATAAGGGGCAATCTGCATATATTCCCAGGCATTTCAGATTATTGTTCCCCTCCAATACGTTCAGAAGAGAGGAAGACTGAGGAAAGACAAAGCTTAGGCGTCAGGCTGGGGAAGCCAGACTCAGTGGCAGAGCAATGGAGGAAACATGCAGGGGGCAGCATAAAGTGGAAAGTGCTCTTGTTTCTTGTACGTATACGAGAAGGCAGATTTGAGACTCTGCTCCCAATAGGGCTAAGAAAACCATCTGCTAGAGCTGCCCTTGAAAGCTGCTGTCAGTCAAGATGGCAAGACAGAGTCAGGTGGGCAAAGGCAGAATAAAGTTGCTCCCTGCTCTGAATCTGTCTTTTAGCAAACCTTCATTTGTTTTTGCAGGGATAATCATGCCCATCAGCCTAATTTGGTGATGTATAATTTATAATTTAGTGTTTACATTCCAAAGAATATATGTGACTTGAAAATACATGAGATAAGAGTGAATGGTTCAAGAAGAGGAAGACTATGGTCGGATGGAGTTGATAGGATCCTCCATCAGAAGAGAGAAAAAAACAAAAGGCAGTGTATGAAACCGTATGTGTTATGGCAGAGGCAAGGACGGTTTGCAACTATTGAAAGGCACAGAAAGGTATACTGAATGGTTTAGTGTGAGCTAGATTACTTTCTCTTATTTCATGTCTTAGTCCTTCAGTTTACTACTTTGTATTCTTTTTCTGCACTTTCCATTACTCTGCTTACCCCAAAAGGGAACAGAGTGATGGGTATGTATATCCAATAGGACCTGACATAAATAATCCTATCAATATGGTAAAGGAGACTGCAGTATGATTTCTGTATTAGGGTTGGGTGCGGGGAGCAAACTGGAAGCTGAGAGAGCAATTTTCCTACTCACCTACTGAATTAAAACCAAAGGGAAATCTGAATCAACCATTCGCTAACTTTCTCATTCTCTAAGTCATGGCAAAACTAGTGATGGAAGGGTGGAAGGCTAATCTGAGTGGAGAATACACACTCAAATGCATGTCCCTACAAATCCTGGTGTTCAATGCTTGTGAACTTTCCTGATAGCCTTTTGCCCCACACAAAAGCAACATAGAAAAAATTGCCACAACAGAATCTACAATTGTGAAGAGATCCCTAAGACAACATTGTTTAGTGCACCATGTCCCTACCCCTTTATGTGGGAGCAGCAAGAAAGATGGTAATAGGGCTTGTTCTGTAAAATAACAGCTCTCTTCTTGAATAATAATAATTAATATATAATTAATCATTAATATATAATAAATACAGACATGAGAGAAAGCTTTGGGGGGGTTGTAATCGACCTGGACATGCTGTAAGCTGAGGATAAGCTTCAATAATAACCATATACATCAGTGTTTTTCGAGCATGAAGACTGGGGAATTCTGGGAGTTGAAGTCCACATATCTTAAGGTTGCCAAGTTTGAAAAACACTGATATACATCAAAATCCCTATGGCCAATATTGATGTCCAAAACTCAGATCCTTTCCACAGAATAATAACCTTTTCAACTAGGGCAGAAAGAGGCAAAGATTGGCTGGGTCAGTTTAGCTGCCCCTGCTACCTCCTCTGAGCACAAGCTAGTCATCCTTGTTACCTGTCAGTGGGTTTCGGGGCTGCAGTTTGCGCTTGGTTTTGCGAAAGAAGCCATTCTCAGAATTATTGAAGTAATGCTTGCGCATAAGAAAACCCTGGGAAAAATGAAAAGAAGCCACAAAAGTTGGGATGAAATTTGGGCATATAGTATTCAGAAACGAGAAATAAGCATAGCTCATGATGATACCCTCCTTTTTGGGTGCTTGCAGTACCTCACTGGCATTCTGTCTGAAATCTTTACCATACCTTACTTTTAGATAGAGCAGTATTGTAGGCTTGCCTTCAGCTAGGCTCTTAAAGCTCAATCCTATCCATCTAGGTTTAGAAAGCGGGCACACGGTGATCAGCCGGCTATAATTCCAGATAAGTACGTGAGTTCATATAGTCTGTAGTGCTATATTATGATGGATGCCATTTTGATTTGAGGCAGGTGGATGGGGAGATTCGTCAGCAATGGTCAGAAACTAATATAGGCACATTAAAATAATAACAGTAATATTACCAGAGCAATTTACAAAACAAGAAAAACAACCTTAAATAAAACCAGCAATAAGACCAACAATCCCAGAAGGCAGTAAGAACGCAAAAGTTAAAATAAGGTTCATTAAAAAAAGGTCATCCCAAAAGCAGTCTGGTCCAGGAGCAGTTGTTATTGTAGAGAACCTAGGGTAAGTATCACCACCAACAGCAGCAGCAAAAACCACTCTGGTTATGTTTGTTAATTCATTCTGCATCCTTCAGCAAAGCTGCTGGTATTCAACAGGAACAAGCACATGCAGTCTGAAATACTGGGAGATAGTTCCACAGCAAGAAGCTTCTGATGAGCATCTGCCAAAACCTGTCTAAGGAATAGGGGTGTTCAAGGAGAGGCTGACCTCATTCTCTCACCTGATGAGTTAGGAACTGTCCGTTTTCTCTCAAGAGGCGGCTACGAGCCAGAATTTGCCTAACAGATAGAGCACTCAGTTCAGTTGTAATACTAACAGAATTTGTTAGCCCAAGAGATCATTATCCAATGTGCAAATCCAAACGCATCATCAAAACACACGCTGTTCCCCACACAATCTTCCATTCGTATACAGTTGTTTAGGGTAGCATTTTAAAGGTACTGATGAAGTAGTCTATGAAATTCAGTCATACAGGTGAAACTCGAAAAATTAGAATATCGTGCAAATGTTCATTTATTTCAGTAAGG